CATACACTGATAGTACCTATTTACTTACATCATTCTATCTTATAATATCAAAACATATACATTATTTATAAAAGTACCTATGAAGTAAAAAATGTATTATATATGTTTATAAAATTGTGTAAGTTGTAGGATATTGGTATTCGCTTTGTGGTCGCAATACATTTTGAACTTGTAAAAACCTGAGAGTCGCAGTCTCAGAGCTTCGCTACCTTGCACTGACTTGTTCAATTCGTCACTCTATAAATACGAATGTGGGACAAATACGTTTATTCGTTTCCTGAATCTTGAAAAGGAAAGTGCTAAGAAAATATTTTAAAAAATATAAACAGATAGTATATCACACAAATTATAGTGAGTCAGTGTTATTTTGTTTGAGAGTGCTGGAGAAAAGTAAGTACATTATTTTTTATTAAATTTTAGTTTTGTACTCGTAGTTAGCAAAGATAGATAAATTACGCCAATCATGACTTTAGTTAGTAGTCTAATATTCAATCATGCAAAATTACACGAGTACTCCTCAATAGTTTCTTTTTGAAAGTTTTAGCAATCGGTATTATAATTACAGTGCAATCTCCGTAATTCGAGCTAATTGTTGCAAGAAGATGTTCGAATTATGGAATGTTTTCGGAAAAATTAAAAAATATTTTTAATATACAGCTGCTGGATTTTCTGTCTTATTTAAATAATTTAATTTTGCCCACAGATTACTGATGCCATGTCGGAATCTAAAAAGAAATGTAGACAGTGCAGTGTCGATTATTTGAAATTTGGCTTCATTCCATCATTGCCGGACAAACAATTGCCTATGTGCCTTTTATGCAACAAAGTTTTGGGAAATGACGCTATGAAACCATCTAAACTGCAAGATCATCTGAGAAGATGCCACCCTGATAAAACAGAGAAAGATTTGAAATACTTTCAAACACTCAAAGATAAACTTCAGAAGAGACCTAAACTGGACAGAATGTTCGCTTCGACGTCACAAAGAAATGATGATGGTTTGCGGGCGTCTTACAATATCTCGTTACTTATAGCAAAATCCGGAAAACCGCATACTATCGGAGAGAAGTTAATTTTGCCAGCCACCTGCATCTGATATCATTAAAAGAATTCCCTTAAGCAACAATACTGTTGAAAGACGTATTGATGAAATGAGTTCTGATATTGAAAGCTTCTTATGTATTTATTTGCAAACGACCCATTTCTCTATATAACTGGACGAGTCAACTTTACCTGATAATGCAGCATTATTATTGGCATATGTTCGTTTAATTATAAATCGAGAAATCTACGAAGAACTGCTCTTCGTAAGAACTTTGATAACCGACACTAAAGATGAATCAATATTTCATGTTTTGAAGGATTACTTCATTGGAAAAGCAATTCCTTTATCAAATATAATATCAGTAGCTACAGATGGAGCACCTGCCATTGTTGGACGTTATCGTGGATATATAAGCTATTTAAAACAAAATGTGTCCGGGGTGTTGGAAATATATTGCGTCATCCATCGACAAATTTGAGTACTAAAAATTTGAGTGTTAGATTGCATGAATCACTTCATTTAGTCATTGATGCAGTAAACCGAATCCAAAGCAATGCGTTGAATACGCGGTTATTTGCGCAGTTGTGTGAAGAAAATGACGAACACTTTCATCAATTACTCCTTCACACTGAAGTAAAAAATCAAAAAATCAAAAAAGATTTTTTGCACTTTTTGAGACTATTTTAGAATGTCTGGATACTAAAGATAAAATTTTAAAAGAAAATTTAATGAAGAGGAAAACAGACATCGCCTATTTAACAGATTTGTTTACAAAATTTAATATGGTTAATTTGCAATTACAAGGCGACAGTTTAAATTTGATTAAAACAAAGTCCATCTTATCAACGTGCGATCAATCTTTGATAGTGCGCGGCGTCTTGTTGTCGGCATCATCAAAGGTCGAATACTGACCTGTCAAAGAAATTTTGCAGCTATTCGGAAGTACAAGGTCAAGATACACGCGCCGGCGGCTTCTATTGATATCGCATTCAATCGTCGCCGCCGCGCCGCACGCACTACATTTGACACTGTTTGAATGCCGCCACAGAGTACATGTTCCAAAGAATAAAATAAGTTTCCGGGTGCTCAGAATGGACACGAATACATTATGCTGATCTCGCAAGGAATATTGTAATTAGATAATGGTAAGGATAGGTAGATACCATAATAATTTATTCTAGTAATTATTATAACATTAACTATATGGGTTTATAATAATTACTTACTATTATTATTATTACCTAATAGGTAAACATGTTCAATAAGTTCACTGCAAATCTCGATTTTTGGAAGTGTCTGTTTTTGAACACAAAGTGTTCGAATATGTCGTCACCCATTTGATAAATATTGTAGACACTTTTAACACACTTGAAACGTGTAAACATTTTGTACAATGCTAATCGAATAATATAAAAAGTGTGCATATTAAATAAAAAGCGTAAAATAAGATCTATGTACTTTTTAGGAGCCCGAGTAGCTCTTAGAGAACCGTTTAAAGAAATTGATTGCATCGTATTGATGTAAATAATAGTGATTTGCACAATTTTAATAGTAGAAATAAAAATAAAATCACAATACTTGCTTTCCGGTTACACAGTGTATATAATGCGTTCTTGGGTAGCGATATACGCTTTTATAATAAGATTCCAAAAGAAATGTTAGATCTTTCACCTTTTCAATTTAAGTCAGACAAAAATGCTTGGAACTGACCTCTCGTACTACACAGGACTAACTAGAAATTTCTAAACCGATTTGGTGGACTTATCGCTTTACATAATTATAGAACTATTGTAAAATATTTTGAAAAGAGCAACTACTGAGTTTCTTACTTTCTTCCATGATTCTTCTCAGTAGAATCAGAACCCCTGGACATGGAAAAGAAAAAATTGGGGAAAACAGTGATTATATGACTATTCAAAAGTATATTTTTAATGCCTACTTGAATAAAACATATTTGAATTTTGAATTTCAAACGAGTGAAGGCAAATTTAACTTAATTAACGTAGATTAATTCAATCACAAGAAGAACATAATATACACAATTTTATTTACATATTTACATTTCATTTTTACGTAGGCACACTATACCTATCTGGAAACGCATCTACTTTATTAATCTTCTGAAGAATCATTAATTTTATCAAAGGATGCCGAACTTTCCTTCGTCGGTCTTTCGGTGTGTACTTACAAATAGTAGTATTTATTTTAATTCCAGTCATTCCCAATTGAGCTTCGCTTCGAGTCTAATGTATTAATTGTTTTTACTCTAATCCTTGTTGTTCTCAGAGTGATAAGTTTACAATTTGACATGAGTGACGAAGAGTCGAATAGTTCTAGTCGGAGTAGTGAGAGTTGGAGTTATAGATCTAAAAGACCTAAAACTAAATTTGATGAGTTTTTCGACATAATTCATGCATCCCAAAATTGCTTTGTGTAAATTATGCCAACATAAAAAGGTTGAAATAAAAATGAAAAACAGAAACATTTCAGGCTTAAGGAAGCATCTAATATCTTTCCACAAAAAGGAATCACAAATATTTCTTCCTGAAAAACCAAAATTAAGTGGAGATATCACAAGCTTTTTAATAACCACCGGAAAAAGTGGACAGGTAAGAAAAATATACTTATCACACAATTACATAACACATATATTATGTAGCTAGCGGCCGCCTGCTACTTCGTCCGCGTACAATATCTGATTTCCTATGACATTTTGAAATTTTCTCGCTGCAAAAGTCTTATTTAAGGCTTCCGTCTAGCTGTGCTGTTTTACATTTCCAGCCATTAGAGGGGGCGCTCTCCCCCGTGCATAAATACGTTCGAGATCGCACGTGAAGTTGCTCTATTTCATTAAATATATAACTTATTAATATTTTTCCAAAATATTCCTTTTACTTTTGTTGTGGTAGTATAATTTTTTACCCTTTTATATTTTATAAATGTCGTTTTAGTCGTATTTATACGGGTTGTAAGTTTAAAAAGGGTAAATACAACCGAAGGAAAAAAATACTGCTTTTTGTTTTTATTCATACAAATTACGACTCTACCTTGTACATTTTGTATTATGAATAAGTAAATTTTTTAATTTAATTTTTTTTTTGTATGCAATGTGGTTCAGCTCCATGATTCCAACTCCTCCCGTCTAATCGGATGTATATGATTTTTTTATACAAACTGAACATACAAATAGCGCTTATACCTGTTTTTTTTTTAAAGAAAAATCGTATAGCGAAGTAATTTAGAAGGCAATCGATAAAAAATTCAAACAAAAGAATAACTGAATACACAAATATTTATTTTTTTAGTTGGTGACAAGATTAAAAATAAGAAAGTTTTTTCGAGTGTTTTGTGTATGGTGTAGGGGTTAACTTTTTGGGGATATTTTATGCTTTTTTATTTTCTATTGCTTCTGTTATAAATGGTGGGTCTTTTATCGGCATAGAACGTTCAAGGCGCGAATCAATTAGTTCTGGTAGCAGACAACTGTGGTAAAACTTTGCCAAAGGGGGCAGCATTTTTGTTTCCCAAAACTCTTTATCCCTTGCTATATATTCTACTTTCATCGGTTGATGTTCACTAGTCCAAACTGCAAACACGCAAATATTTTGTTCCGTTATATTAAGTTGACCTTGAATTTGGTAGTAATAGCTGTGGTTTTTATTTACTTTGAATATATTCTTTTTGCCGTATTTCCAAAAGGTTATTTTGCTTATGTTAAATTCTGCGTTACATAATTGACATTTCAAGCACAACGTTGAAATAAAGCCTTTTCTGGTCTCACCGATGCATTTCAAATTTGAAAATCTACATCCAAATGATTCATGACTGTGATCAGCAACTGCTTGCAGAGAAAGTAAAAAGTATCGTATAGAGACAATTCTACGCCCCTCTAAATCAAAATCCTCTTTTTTACTACACATTTTTTCACGTTCTACATTGAAGTCGAAGCAATCACCCTTTTCACGTGCGGACGGCTGGCGCTAAAATAAAAAAATAATAGCTTTGTTTTACATTTCTACGATTCAAATTTTATGAGCACATATTTATCATATTTGAATTACCTTAGTTTTAACTTTTCTAAAAGGCAGTCCACTGGTGGCTTTTCGTTTTCGCCCCTTTTTATTAACCTAAAATAAATATTATTATTAGCTTTTTTAAATAGCAAAACTGCAAGTATCTATTTGTGTACATAAATAAAAAGGAATAACAATTTTAAAACAAATGCGATATTGTAGATATTAAACATGTACAACATGTGTTTTATGCACGATAACTGGCTAATTAACTATATATATAAAAAAAACTCAAAAATAACTGTATATGTACCGAGTTTTCATTTTGGGGTTTATTTGCTACATCTTGTCCTTTTGTTTCCTTAGAACCATTAGTTGGTATTAAAATACTTTTAGAAGAATATTGAGGTTTGTTCTCTTGATCACTAAAACGAAAAGTATTATATGTATTGTATCTGTAAGTATTAAAGTTAATATGGCATTAAAGTATATATTTTAATCAAAAAAGGTAACAACAGAAAATATTACCATGGCATAATATCATTTACTGGAGGGCAAGTGTTGCTAAAATTTGACATCGGTTGACGATCCGTAGACACAGTGGCACTGACATTACTGAAAAGAATAAAGGTCACGTAAATAAATTACTGACAATCCAAACAAAATAAAAATAATATTATTTTAATGAATTCTATTATAATAGAGACGGACCTTGCATTTTTCGGGATAAATTAAACACTCACGTACAAACATAAAGACAGATAAGAATATTTCCAAACAATTGCTCGTCATCAATATCGATAGTAATGAGCAAATAAAAGCGTCCGTGTCGCAATAAATGTAAACGTACTTACTAGATTAGAAAACAAAGCGTCTTTATGGCAGTACCATAACCCTACTAATCACTATCCTAATTACAATAAATATAACAATAGGTAAGCGTCTTTTACGCGGAAACGTTCACAGGGCACGCGTCACCTGCGCTACCTGCTCTGCCCGCTCGCCGACAGTTCTCTAAGTAGCTAAGTATAGATTGTATTATTATATAAGTAAGATGCTAGTTTCTAAAATTTAAATAAATCCGTAAATAATAACGTCTAATTGAAAAATAATTGCTTCATGAAACGAAAATGTGAAAACATATTTGTTTTTTTTTTATAGGATAGGGCACAGAGTCCACCTGATGGTAAGTGGTTGCTGTGGCCCATAGACATCTACATCTACCCTCGATTACGAATCAAAATGCAGATGCGTTGTCACCCGTGAGGACTAAGATAGAATGCCTCGTTTCCAGTAAATGGGTCTCCGGTTCTCTACACTCACCATACGAAATACAGCAGCGTTAAGCTACTATTTCACGCTGGTATTCTGTGAGAGCGTGGTCCTTCCCCGGTCGAGCCGACCCATTCGTGCTACAAATATACATCTAATATAACTACAGCATGGCTCTACCACGTATATAAACGTCGCCTTTGTAGCAGCACGTTGTACATATGTATAGATAATGCAATAAATAATATCTCAAATTACACTTGTTAACTATAGTTATATCAATATTATTCACCTATACCTAGGTGGTATTCAACATACCTGCTTAGTCTGTTTCTTTTCATCACTTCAACTCTTGCTTTACGTTTCTTTATACTGACACAAGGATATTTCCTCTTTTTTCCATCCATTTTTTTCCGTTTATTTCTTTTGGTTGTAAATTGAAATTCACGAAATAGAAGTCAAAGTCAATTATTAATCTAACACACTAATACTAATATAAACACTAATACACTTACACACTAAAAACTAGAACTAATATGTACAATTAAATAAAAATAATATATATTTATGTAGAGCAAATTTCACGATATGCTCCTGTCAGTCCATAAGAGCTGCGCGAGTGAAAGAGATCAACCGTGCGAGCGAGAGGTAAAATAACGTTGAACAACACAGCACACGTCTGAACGCCGAGAAATCCCAGCGGAACTGAGAGAACTTTCACGCGTTTCTAGTTTATAAATGGTATATAGGTAAAAGGTACGAAAATATAACTTTTTTTAATTTTATTTATTTCTAATTTACTTGAAAATAGTTAAACTTTATGTGGCTTTAAGTACGACTTTGCCACATTTATTTGCCAATAGTAGTAGTACCACTTGAAGGGTAGCCTTTCACATGCTCAGAAGAATGCGCCGATTTGTCTACATAAAAAAAGGGATTGTATTAAAAGACTAGATATATAATCTATAGGCATTAATAAATTTACTTAATAAGACGGTCGAAACTATAAATTTAGAATATCTATATTATGAAAAAATATAGATATTTGCAGAAAAAAATTCATGAAATTACAACTTTTTAAGCCCTTCAAATAAGAAAATTAAAGCATTTATAAAAAAAATGACCAGATCAGATTATTGTATACAATATTTAAATGAATGTGATCTGAATACTTTTCTTGATATTGTTATAGTTTGTACATAGCAGAGGCTTTAATAAGACCTTTTACGCATGTAACCTAAACATAGGTATGTTTAACGCCTAATAGAGCTATTAATTTAAACACCAAAATAAAATTAAAAAACAGTTTCCAAAATATCAAATCCTACACTTTTAATAAATGTAAAATATGTTTTACTTTTTCTTTCTTAACTACCATAAAAAAATATTTGTTTTGCTGTAAATTATGCGAGAACATAAATTTTTACAAGACCGGGGCCTTAAGTATAAAGAGGCTATATAGGTAAAGCTTAACTATGCATGTATTTATTATTTAAAACTAATAAAGTAAATGTCGATCTTCATATCTATACTTTAAAAATATAGGACTTGCATGTAACCATTTTACCCTAATTTCACCCCCTTAGGGTTAGGATTTCGTAAAACAGCTTATTTAGGATTTTATTATTGAAAACTTATAACTTTAATTCCGATTTTCGTGTCTCTAACTTCAAAAACATAAGACTTTCATACAAACTTCCAACTCCCATTTCACTCCCTTAGGGATAGATTTTCTCAAAACCGTTTCTTAACTGATCTCTATGCCATAAAAGAAACCTACCTTACAAACTTCAAGTTTGTATGTTTTATAGTTCCTGAGATATCGTTATAGTCAGTCAGTGAGTGTGTGACGGCCCAATATTATTATTAATAATTAAATTAAATATAAAGGGGCATCAAAAATAGTCTTAAAATATATATATATTAAGCAATAAAATTACATTAATAAACATAAAGTTAATATAAATATATTTCAGACATTAGACCAATAACATAGTAAATTAAAGGCAAAATATTGGCTTTCATAATAAATAAATTTATTATAAAAACTTGTAAAAATATTTAAAACGTGATAAACAATAGAAATAAAAGTCGAAAATATTATAAAAATAAAGATAAATAACGTTTATAAAATAATTAGAAAATTTGTTAAAAACTGTCTAAGTTGTGGAAGGAGTTCACGTATAAAAGAAAATTTTCCTAAGTTATGAAAGGTGTTCATGTATATCATCATATATATCTTATATAGAGGAGCTGCCGGAGATACATACCTGCAGTTGTACATATATATGGGTGTTGGCGACGCGCCTATAAAAATATTTCTATTTATTAGTTAACTGATTACGAATAGCTTCTAAAAAGCAAATTATCAAGCAACAATATTCCGATAAGAAAATGCTTAGTTGAATTTAAAGAAATATTAAAATAAAGTAGAGACCAGGATTTGTTCCCCGGTCGAGATGATCGCTGTGCATAAGTAGAATTAATGGAAATTGATTGCATCAGTATTGTCTTATATGAGTTTGATATGTTTTGTATGAAAACAAATGCCTATTTTCTATGATTGATTTATGAAAACATTCACTTATATTGTTTGATTATTGTTGATATTAGACTTTCCATTTTTACTGATAGTCGATAGCCGTGCAAAAGTTAGTTGTTCAAATAGTGTGAGTTCATAGACGCACGCTAGCCACGTACTTAGGAGGCCAACTATGTAGAAATTTAAATATTTGCAATTTCAGCAATTTATCTAAAAATGACTTGTAAAACATTTCAGATTTATTGTATTGGTTAAGATATGTATAATTTCAAGTGGAAAACATTGTTTTAACTTTCCATGTTAAATATTTAAGAAATTTCAACTTTGAACATGTGAGTAAAATAAGCATATTTTGTTAAATAAATAAAAGGTTTTTTGTGATATAAAATGTAATGTATATCGTAGTATAGATATTTTTTTTTGTGCTATCTTTATAAGTAAATTGTATAAATGTATGTTTTATACAAATAAAGTTATTGAGTAAACCGTGAGAGAGTGATAGTACAAATTGATGTAATTGAGTTGCGCAAGCGCACAAATGGCGCGGCTCACTTTCGCGTATAGCTCTGGGGTAGCTCAGTAAACGAGTTTTCTTGCAATTCGTTATCTATCAGTATCTCCTAGGTGTGCGTTGTTTGTAGTTAGCAGTGGCTGCAAATGACCGCCGGTACGACATACTCCGCCGAACGTTGAGTCCCGTGATTCCGTGAGGCGTCGAGGTCACCGGCCTCTAGGTGATTCTTGGCACTTTATGCGTTCCGAGCATTCTGTGCCTAGTCGCGCATTAAAGTGCCACCGTCGCACTTCCCCCAACCCTTTTGTTTGCAAAAGGGGTAGGCAGTGCCCATAGTGAGGAAAGCCGCTTACTATTATCACCATCACATATAGATAGGGCCTTCAGAGTACAACTGACAGGTTAGGTTACACCTTATCATGTCGGGTAGGGACAAGGGGGAACCACCCCCCAAGTCAAGAATACCACCGGATAAGAAAGGAGTGTTGGAGAGACCTTTAGTAATCAGGGATCTGGCGAACCCGGAGCGCACCAGAACGGTGCCAGCGTTCTCCCATATCCCAATGAGGAAACCCGTCTCGCCGCGAAAGGAGCCCGCACCGGGCGTCGCGCTCACGCCGGCCGTGTCTGAGCACACGGTCAGGCAGGAACCGTCGCCCCAACAGCAGCGGGCTAAGAAAACGGCTAGACGCCATACACCACCAGAAACCGAAGCCTCCCTTTATGAGAAGAGGCAACGGATAGGCTCCCAGTTGTCATCAGATGAAGCACCATCCTCATCAGAAGAGGAAGCATACCACCAGGTGGTGACGACGAAGAAGGTGTTGAGATCTCCGCCGAAATCACCTTCTCCACCACAACCCCCCCTCGCTCCATATCACCGGATCGGCGAAGCCACGATTCGGCTCAGTACGAGCAGGGGGCGAGGAATCCTACAGCTGGGGGTCGACTACCTACGCAACCCTGGCAGCATCCGCCGGCCGATCATCGCCGGTGGCAACATCAAACCCGTCCGGGCTCCCGCAGGATGATGGTCAACGACCATCTACCAGCTATGCTCATATGGTAGCTGCACCAGCAGTACCACGGCCACAACCGGCGGCAGTGCCTACTGATAAGCCTGCCGACCAGGAGAAGACCAGATACCCACCTATAGTGGCTGAATGCCTACCGGACTGGACGAGGCATTTTAAGGAGCTCAACAGAAT